ATGTGTATGTGTGTATTGCCTGCATGTAGGTAAGTGCACCCGTGTCGTGCAGTGCCCTTGGAGGACAGAAGAGGCTGTTGGATCCCCTGGAACTGGAGTTACGAACAGATAGCTGCCATGTGTGGGTGCTGGGATTTGAACCTGAGTCTTCTGCAAGAATATTCAGTGTTCTTAACCGCTGAGCCATCTCTCCAGCTCCCTTATTTTTATTTTTTAAGATAGTATTTCTCACTGAACCTGGAGCTCACCTGTTTGGCTAGACTAGCTGGTTAGCAGCCCCAGGGATTCTTCTGCCTCTGCCTTCCTAGCACTGGGGTGATAGGTGTGAGCTGATGTGCTCAACATTTTATGAGACTACTAGGGATCTGAACTCAACTCCTCATTCTTGCATGGCAAACACTTTACCAACTGAGCCATCTCCCCAGCCGTAGAATTTCTTGAACTTATGTTAAATGCACACATAGAACTTTTTGTTTAAAAAAAATCAGTTGACTATCAAAACTGCTCTTTAGACTGGTAGAGTATTATTATTAATATTGTTGCTAAGGATTGAACCTAGAGCCTCATACATGCAAGTATGTACTGTACCACTTACCCGTACCTCCACAGCTGTTAACTAACTAATACCTGGAACAGCTATTTAAAATCTTAAAACCGTGCTTAGTTTGTGGACCATATAAAAACACTTTGTAGGTCTGGTTTAATATGTAGCTATAGTTGCCAGCCTTTGTTCCTAAAATACTTTCTATTTGGTTCTTGATTTAAAAAAAAAAATTATTAACACTATTATTATTTGTATTAGTAAGTTTTTAAAGCTGGGGGACTCAGTGCGATCTTGAGGTCAGAATTGTGTGTAGGATGGACCAAAAATATTAGGTTATGGGAATTTATAGAAACGACTGTATAGCAATAAAGAAATGGAGTCAGTCAAGTCACAGACAAGAGCTCATGTTTATTGGAATGGCAGAAGGTTTCAGGAGTTGTAAGGGTTGCCTGGTAGAATGTTTCAGGACCAGCAGACATTAGATATCTAAGGCATTCATCCTCCATTAACAATCCTTTTTACTGTTTCCTGATAGGATCCTCATCCATCACATTTTAGCTTCCTGCTGCTCTTGCCTGCTTCTATTGCAGTGTATGAACATTGAGTAGGATGAAGGGGGAAGAGACAGGGGATCTGGATTTACCTTGGCTTTTCTGCTGTGTGACATTTGACTTAATTGAACTTCATTTTTCTCTTCTGTTAAGATTATAAGTCAACATTAGATGATTTCTCAGCTGTTTTCTACCTTGACTATTTTAGAAAAGAGTTTTATTTATTTTAAATTATGTGTTTATATGTGTGTCTGCGTGTGGATTTGTGCATGTCAGTGCAAGTGCCCCCAGGAGGCGAGAAGAGGGTGTCGGATGCCCTGGAGCTGGAGTTAGCAGGCAGTTGTGAACTGCTCATTGTGGGTTCTGGGAACTGATCTCAGGTCGTCTGCAAGAGCAGCAAGCACTGCTAACTGCTGAGCCATCTCCCCAGCCCTACCTTGACTTCTTTATTCTTCTGAGATTCTTGCAAATGAGTATGACTTGTGTGCTTCTCTTTCTGTCTTTTGCCTCAGTTGTCTGCCTCAGTCTGTGTATAGTGATTGCAACCCTCTGATATAACCGAAAGATTTCCCATATTATTCTGCATTCACAGGTGAGGATAGGAATTCTCTTCACTCTGCCAAGTATATATTAGGAAACAAAATATTTCAACAAAACAAAGAACCATGCTTTCTAAATGTTAAGGTTTTTCTTTTTTTCTTTTTTCTTTTATGTGTATGCATGTATTGCCTACATGTAGGTAAGTGCACCTGCATTGTGCAGTGCCTGTGGAGGAAAGAAGAGGCTGTAGGTTCCCCTGGAACTGGAATTACGG